AAAGAAAGCTTGTTTCATGGAAGATTTGAGAGAAAATGGAAGAAATGTTGAAGAAAGGCTCTCTCTCTTGGCTTGAACATTTCATCTCATTTTAGGAAAATATTCATTTATTTTCCAAAATTATGCAATTGGCCCAATTATTTTAATTGTATAACTCATAAGTCCTAATTCTTCATATAAGGGCATTTTGGTCATTTCACACTAGCAATTATTACTTAATTAATGCCATTAATGCAATGAAGCCACTCATCCTTGACTTTTTCAATGCTTATCCATAGGTAAAATACATTTTGCCCCTAAGCCTCTTTATGTAATTGATTCATACCTTCCAAATGAATTGACTATTTTGCCCTTAGTTAGATTTTATGCTTTTTAACATAATTAAACATTTAAAGGACTATTTTGAGTTAGGAACATACCTTTGACATCTTGGGTATTACACTTAGTAAGGATACTGCTACTGGTCGTTGGAATTGACATAACTAGTTGCAATACACCCTGATAAACTTTCTCTCGAACAAAGTGACAATCAATTTCTATGTGTTTAGTCCTCTCATGAAACACTGGATTTGAACAATATGAAGGGCAACCTGATTATCACAGAGTAACTTCATTTGTGATACTTCGACAAATCTCAACTCTTGAATTAGTTGTTTTAACCAAACCAGCTCACAAGTGGCTAAGGCCATTGCACGATACTCTGCTTCAGCACTTGACCTTGCAACAACTGCTTGTTTCTTACTTTTCCATGAAACTAGGTTTCCTCCAACAAGAACCAAAATCCTGAGGTAGAACATCTATCAGATGAGAACCGGCCCAATCAACATCTGAATATCCGACAATATGCGAATGGCCCTTATTTTCATACAGTAAGCCTCTACCTGGTGCTCCCTTGATATACCTCAAAATCCGACAACTGCATCCCAATGACTATCACATGGAGTTTGAAGGAACTGACTCACAACACGATAGAAAAAGAATATCCGGTCGTGTGATAGTAAGATAGTTAATTTTTCCAACAAGTCTTCGTACCTTCCAGGATCAGTAAGAGCTCCCCTTGTCTAGGTGAAGTTTTAAATTAGGATATATAGGAGAGTCTATTGGTCTGCAATCTGACATCCCTGTTTCCTCTAGAATATCCATTACATACTTCCTCTGAGAAATAACAATACCAGATTTAGACTGAGCGACTTCTATGCCAAGAAAGTATCTGATAGCCCTAAGTCTTTCGTCTGAAAGTGTTTGAACAAGTGTTGCTTCAACTGTTCAATGCCTCTTGATCACTTCCTGTAATAACAATACATCGACATAGACACCCAATAGATACACTGCCCTGATGATGTATGTCTATAGAAAACAGAGTGATCAGACTCACATCGAATCATACCAAACTCTTGATAACTGTGCTAAATCGTCCAAACCAAGCTGAGGAGACTGTTTTAGACCATATAAGAACGACGAAGTTTACATACCAAACCAGACTCCCCCTGAGCAACAAAACCAGGAGGTTGCTCCATATAAATATCTTCCTGAAGTTCACCATGAAGAAAGCATTCTTAATATCCAATTGATGCATAGGCCAGTTCCGAATGGTACCATAGCAAAGAACAACCGACGAAAGACATCTTACAACAGAGAAAAATTATTAAAATAATATTCCCATAGATCTGAGTGTATCCCTTGGCCACCAAATGGGCTTTCAGCCGATCAACCTTACCACTGGACCAACCTTGACAGTGTAAATCCATCGACAACCAACATCGAATGGCCCGGAGGTAAGAAAACTAACTCCCAAGTATGATTATGATGCAAAATAACATTTCTTTAACCATTGCCTGACGCCACCCGAGGTGAGAATTGCCTCATAACATTGCAAGGAATAGAAACAAAGAAAGGGTGGAGACAAGGCATAATATGAAGGATATAAATGAGAAACTCAAAAAATTGTAGATGGGATGAGGTTGCGTGTAGACCGCATACTTTTACGAAAGATATGGGAAACTGATCAGCTGGAGACAAGACCGTGCATTGGAGGAATCAGGCATAGGACCTGCAGTAACAAGGATCCAGGAACGGCAGCGGGAACATCAAGATCACCTGTAAAAGGAACAAGACTATTGTCGACAGGAAGATGGTATTAGTAGTAGACTGAGGTATCGAAACAAACGAATGTGGGAAAGCAACGTATGGAATTGGTAGAACATCCACTACCGGATCAACTCCACTAGAGGATGAGGAAAAAATGGAGAAGACTCAAAGAACGTAACATCAGCAGAGATGAAGTAGCGATGTGTGACGGGAGAATAACACTTGTAGCCCTTCTGAAGACGTGAATACCCTAAGAAAATACATTTCGTAGACTTGGCTGACAGTTTATCCTGACCAGGAGGGAAAATGTGAACAAAACAGGTGCTCCCAAAGACACGCGGGGGAAGAGAAAATAATGGAGTATCAGGGAATAATATGGAGTGGGGAAAAAAATTCCGAGAAAGAGAGAAAAAAATTTGAAATTTCAGACACTTGGCTCTGATACCATGTGGAGAAATATTTTCTTGTGTATTCATAATGAAATGTACAATGAATTTATAGCAAAAACAAAAAACTAATCTAGGAAGTAAATTGTTACATTCTTATTATAATTCTATTTCCTATTCCTATTATAATTCTATTTCCTATATTACAAAGAGAATAATTCTATTTCCTATATTACAAAGAGAATAATTCTATTTCCTATTTTACATTTCAATAGGCTTGATGGGTTTGGACCCTGGCCGTGCACACTAGGCATAAGACTAATGAAAATCCTAAAGAATGTATGGGCTTTTGAAAAGATATGGTGAGTCTTTATAGGTTTGGATCCTGGCCGTGCACGCTGAACGTATGACTAATGAAAATCTTGAAGAATGTATGGGCTTTCGAAAAGATAAAGATGGAAAGGGTAAAGAGAAAGAAAGTCTTTTGAGCAACCTACCTAACATAAGGATTCTAACTTACCCTATTAGAGCAAATGAAGATTCTCAAATGGGGAAAAACGATAGTCAACATTAGAGTTGGTCAAGGACAAGTCGCTCATGGGCCTGGGACCGGTCCCAGGCCCATGAGCAATTCTAGGACCCGGACCAGTCCCTAGGACTGGTCCTATGGGCTCAGGACCGGTCCTATGGGCCTGGAAAATTTCTTCGCCCCCCCTGCTTTTTTTTTAATATATTTTAGGGGCGAAATAAAATTTTGTAGGGGGTTTTTAGTATTTTTTAGGGCCTGGAGAATTTTTTTTTTTAATAAATCTTATAATATTTATTTTAACCCCTATAATTTATGTTTACTTCAAAATTTATAGGAGGTTTTATATAATTATACAAGGAACTAAAATAAAAATATGTAAAAAAAATTGGGCCGAGGCTTGAGCCTTGGAGGAGGGCCCAGTGGAGGGATTGAACCCTTCTCCTTAGGCCTGGTCCCGTTTTGGGACCAGACCTCCTAGGACAGATCTTAGGATCGGGTTTTTGGGCTGGGTTTTTGGACCCAGTCCCAAATGCCCACCTCTAGTCAACATGTATTAAACAACACTAAGAGCAAAGCCATACCATGCCCTTAAAGAAACTAGTGATGATTGCCATGAATGCTACCCTCGAGGATGTGTACAAAAAGGTCTTTGTCCATTCCTGTCAACATGGTGCACCTCTCAGTAGAGGGGCGTGAAAACGCCGTGGAGACTTTGACCGAATGAATAGGGATCAATTGATAGACATTTGATTGAGGAAGAGAATCCATAATCCAAGATGAATGCTTTTTTTTTTTTCATTACGTGCTGACTAGTTGCCTACTTGCATGATCAATCGTTGGACGGGGAAATTGCGTGAATGACAAGACCGGCCTAACCTAAAGTAAAGGCTCTTCCCTGTGGTGAATCTTGATTGACTAACACTAGGGTTGAGATGCTTGAGACTTAGTTGTCTCTCAAAGGATAAATGAAATTTACCAAACACCGCATGACGTTTTTTGAAGACTTTATTACATTCATGCTTGTGTTTAAAAAAGAGTAGAGTAGAAAAAGAATAAATAAAAACAAACAATAAGCATGAAAAACATCATATAATATGATATCGGTGTCCGTTACAAATTAAAAAATTAAGAGTCTGTTTGATTCATTATTCTGATACTTTTTAGAATAATATTTTAAAAAAAGTTAAATTGGGTGAGTATTACGATGTAGGATTTGGAAATTAACAAAAACACTCCCTATGTTTGTTTATTTACTAAACACCCCTATAATAAAATATTAAAAGTTAACGAAAACACCCCCAACCCATGCATTAAATACCGATAGCCGACCACCATCGCCAGAAGGTGGTCGGAGTCGCCGTATCAGCACATGATCGATTGGATCTTGCTGGTCGTTCGCTGATATGACCTTTTTCGGTCAGATCCATCGTGGATCTAACCGCATTTGGTCATCAATGAAGGCCAAAGATACAGCCATCGTTGATGGCCAACGATGACCATATCTTGGCTATCATTGACGACTGGTTACGACCAAAGCCGTGGATCTGGCTGAAAAATGTTAGATCGGCACACTACCAGCCAAATTTAGCCTGTAGTATACCAATATACCAAATTCTGGCCAGCTTTCGGCAATGGTGGCCAGAATCTGGTAAATGTGGGTTGTTGGGATGTTTTTGCAATTTCTATAAAAAATATTTAGGGATATTTAGTTAAATTAACAAATTTATGGTGGTTTAAAAGAAATAAAATAATATAGAATAATATTCTGAGAATAAGTCAATTTTATAATTTAACTTTATTGGGAAAACCTATAACGGTATTCGGAAGAGTGTAACAAACTGACCCTAAGATATTATAGTAGGAGTACCACATACTAAGACAATGTATTTTACATTGAAGCCCAAACAAGGCCCAAGCCCAATCTGAACTCGAGGCCCAAGAAGAAGTATATTTAAAATAATATTATCTACATAGAAGCATACTATACATGATACCAATTCATATTCACAAACCGTCCGCCCTCACAGGCTTCGCAAAATAAGCAGCGTTTTCCACCACCTCCCTCAGGCATTATCAACTGGCTTCTACTGTTTTACCTGGTCAGATCATTCCAATCAAAGTCTTCCTATCTCTCCGGTACGCCTTTTCTTATTTTCCGGCCACTAGATCTAACTTTTTTTGTTTTTCCTTAATTTTTCTAACTAATTTTGTTTTCTAGGGTTTAGGTTTATTTAGGGATTTTCTGAAGATATGGAGAAAGAGCTGGTGGAGCTATTTGAAGCAGCCAAGAAGGCGGCGGACGTGGCGGCCGTTGACGGAACATCGTCGAGTGGACCCGAGGTTTCGCGATGTGTCGATGCGTTGAAGCAGCTTAAGAGCTTTCCTGTCACGTATGACATCCTTGTCTCCACTCAGGTATTCGTTATTATCATTATTATTATTATTATTTTTCTAATTTGGATTTTCTGTCACGAGTGAGAGATTATTTGTTTAATATGTGATTAGGGTTGTTGATTGTCTATTGTTTTTAGGGTTAAATAAAGTGGAAAAAAGAACTGTTACTAATAGAAGTAAGGAATAAAGACTTTTCCTTTAGCCATGTGATTACTTTTATTTGGATTTAAATTAGAGAATCTTTTGGAGTTTATGTTTGAAGGTGAAGCTGTTACCTCTTTTCCCCTGTGCAAGCTAAAAGTTTTGAATGGATAAACCAATCAATTATTTGTCTGTAATTTAATATGATAAATATGATCCATATAATCCAAAGCATAGAATTTTCTATTGTGATAAATTATATCTTCAAAATCATCATGACCAAGGTATATGTCAGTTAAACTTCTGACTCCGATTTTCTGAATGACCAATTTACCTGAACAATAGATAGCCAATACTTTTTGGAGTATCAGATTAAAGATATAACAAAATTGTACCAGCTTGAACTGGCCAGTGTCTCTAAAAGAAGAAGCAGAGTGTTTCATGAGCAGATGTTCAAAAACGATGGATAGCCATAATTTGTTGGATTATCAGATTAAAGAAATAACAAAAGTGTACTGACTTGAACTGGTCAGTGTCTCTATAAGAAGAAGCAGAGTGTTTTGTAAGGAGATCTTTAAAATGAAGCCAACTTTTTTCCTAAAAGTTGTGGCTTTTACAGCTCCTAATGATCAGTTCTCAGTTATGGCTATCCATCGTTCAGGTAAACTGGTTGTTTGGAAAATTGGAGACAGAAGTTTAACTGACAAATCCTTGGTCGTGATGATTTTGAAGATATAATTTATCACAGTAGAAAATTCTATGCCTTGGAAAATATAGGTCATAATTAAACAAGAGGTTGACCTTGTTCATTTATATACACTTCGTATCCTTGTTTATACAGTCAGTTAAAATTTCTATATCATATTTCAGGTTGGGAAACGTCTTCGGCCTCTCACGAAACATCCTAGGGAGAAGATACAGAATGTGGCTTCTGACTTGCTTGAGATTTGGAAGAAAATAGTCATAGAAGAGACAAACAGAAAAAAGAAAAATGGTAGCACTGAAGTGAAAGTTGAGAAGGTTCAGAAGGCTGTAAAGGTTGAAAAGGTTTCAACAAAAGAAACTGTCAAGATTGAGAAATCTGGCAGTTTTTCAAGGTCAGAAACTGTGCGGGTGGAAAAAAGGGAAGTAAATGGGGGTGCTGAGCCTGTCAAGGTTGAAAAGATAATTAAGGAGGAGAAGCAAGCTTCTAGTGTTAAAAAACCAACACAGGCACCCTTTGGGACCCCAAAGCTGACAGCATTGGTTAGATGTAATGATTCTTTGCGTGACAAAATTAGGGAACTTCTTGTGGAGGCCTTGTCCAAAGTTGCTGGTGAGGCTGCTGAAGAAGAGGTGCATGCAGTAAATGCATGTGATCCAATCCGGGTCGCTGTATCTGTTGAATCTGTAATGTTTGAAACATTAGGCCGGTCTAACGGCTCCCAGAAACTCAAGTACAGATCTATCATGTTCAACATCAAGGATCCAAAAAACCCTGATTTGAGGAGGAAGGTTCTCCTTGGAGAGGTCAAGCCAGAGAGGCTTGTCACAATGTCCCCAGAAGAAATGGCAAGTGATGCAAGGCAACAGGAGATTAGCCAAATTAAAGAGAAAGCTCTGTTTGATTGTGAGCGAGGTATTGCACCAAAGGCTACAACTGATCAATTTAAGTGTGGTCGTTGTGGTCAACGTAAATGCACTTACTATCAAATGCAGACTAGGAGTGCCGATGAACCTATGACAACCTATGTAACATGTGTAAACTGCAACAATCATTGGAAGTTCTGCTAATTAGATTTCCTCTATATCTGCCATTCTTGTTGAGAAGAAATTGAGCAGATTATCCGGAAACTTGATCCCCTTTGTAACGAACAATCAGTCGAGTCTAGTCTTTTAAGGTTTAGAAGAAAGCTTTGTTGATTTTTTTTTCTTTCTTCTTTAGGACAATCTTCATTGGGGTAACTGGGCATTTTCGAGGTGGTCTGATTGTAATTTCTGTGAAGAAATCCTAATATAATCAGGTACACCTCATTTCTAGTTCCTCCTCTCCCAGCAGTCAGTCAGTAGTAGGTTTTTTTAGTGTTTCTGTTAGCTATTTTTTTTTTTTTTTTAGCTTATTTAATGTATTCTTCTGATCATCAAATTTGTTTCAACCACCCTTGTATGACCTAGTGGGTGCTGTGTGTTTCCTAGATGTTGCGGTGAGGAGAGTGTCCATGTTAGACTTAGAGCTAAGTTTCTCTTCTGTACTGGAAACATGATTATATAAATAGCAATTTTCTTCTTGGGCATTTCTCAATGGTTTATTCAATATGCATTTGTGCTTTTCATAAATTTTGAAATTAGAGCCATGAAAATGAGGAACTCTGTTTCAGGATGATATATAGTCAAGAGAGCGCAAACATTTGAATTTCAACCACTGCTATAATGAGACTATAATAAATATTGTCTTCTCCAAGTGCAACCAATAAAAGAATTCAAACTAGAGCTGTAAAAAAGCAGACATTATCTATTCTCTTCTCTGTAATTTCTTCTACGGCTCGAGCATGGACCTGCAGTGTGTTTTCACCCACGGATTCTTCTTCTTCTCATCATCATCTTCACCACCCAAATTCTGAACACAAAAATTTCACTCATTTCAGTCAATTTAGAAACATCAAACATAGTTTTGGGTTATTTTTAATTTACTCACATGGGAGATGGATTTTGCCACTCCGGTAATCCTCTTTTCTTGTTCTTTCTCTCTCAGAGATCGTATGGATGAATCCTCTGATTAACGCAAACATTTAAAAAGTTATACTTGAGAATTGAACCCCAGAAAAGAATGAAAAAAAAACATAATCTTACCAAACAGTAAGACTTGAGTTCCTTTAATCTGTACAATCTCAACTTCAATCTCCAGCATCTTCTGAGTTCCCCTCTGTATTGAAGCTCCTTCATTTGCATATCCAGCATCGTATCTCTTTCATTCAACATCTTCTGTTTTCTCTTTGTCCAATCTCAATCTCCAAGCTTCTTTCTCATGGCGCTGAGTTCCTCCGCCAGCGACGCATCCAGTGATTCCAACTTTGTCACCACAGATTCTCCTCCTCTTTCTCCTTGTTCAGATCTCCAACCGCAGGATCTGATTCTGTTTCTGATCTATACATTCTTGCTTTTCCTTTGGCTTGTTCTTTATATACTGTGGGCGTTGAGACCAGCGAGTTCAGTGGCTGGAGAGGCTTCCGCCCGGACTTCGGCTTCAGCTTCTGATCTCCGCCGGTGGTGGCAGTGACTGTCATTTTGAGGTTCTGGGTCATTTTTAGGATCTGGGTTATACAAGACTAAGGCGACTGGGGTGATAATTATATATATTTGATGATAACAGGTTTAAATTTGGATGGAGCCAAAGCGCTAACGGCTACTTTATAATATTTAATTTATCTTTTGTTCTTTAGTAGAAGGTGTGTGGGCCTGCTGGCTGCTGAATATTATTTCCAGATTCTCGATTTTTTTCATTGAAAACTGTGAAATGACATTGACTGATTAGTTTTAACATTATGCACTAATTAAGGTATTAAGAGTATATCTTCTTCTATGAATCTTTTGGTCGATCTAATAAGAGATATAAACCAGTGAACTCTGTCCAAAATCAAATCCGACAATGGAGGTTTGGTTATTTTGAGTTTTGAAGGGGCTTCTGTCACTTTTGACTAACATTTGAAACCATGGGTTAAAGTGAAGTTGTTCCATTCTCTTTTTGTCTTGAAACGTGTATTCAGATGCAACCAAACATTGGCCTATTTGTTGGTTAGAGCAATGTTTTAAAGCCCAGTCCGCTCGATCGATTGAACCGAGTGGCTTCACCAGGTTGTTATAAATTTTTATATTCATTGAAAACCCTAGAAATTAGAGTATCAGCACATGAACAATTGAATGTTGGGATGTTAGAGGGTTTTGAAAAGGACTAGTGAGTGAAATGATGGCGAAAGGTGATTTAGGTGAGCAATAATGTTACAGACACCGGGATTTTTGTACCAAATATTGTACCAGCTTACGTGTAACACGCCTCTAATTTCTTTAACAATTTTTTCTAGTGACGCCGTCCATCAAATTTGGACGGCCGTTCACTCACATGGACCGCCATCCATATTATATGGACAGGGGTCCATATACCAGGGACGGCGTCCCCATATAATGGACGCCCGTTCATAAGTAAAATTGAATAAATTTTTTTATAAAATTAGGAGCGGTCGTTCATCAGTTCTAGACGGCCGTCCCTTCATTTTGGACGAGCATCCCCATTTAATGGATGCCCGTTCATAAGTAAAATGGATAATTTTTTTTTTTTAAATTGAGACGGTTCTATCTCGTTATGGACGGCCGTCCTTCATTTTGGACGGGCGTTCGCAAATAAGGACGCCCGTCCTTAAGCAAAATATGAAAAAAAAAAAAAAAATTTGGGACGGCCATCCCTTACGTTTGAACAGGCGTCCATTAGGAATGGACGCCCGTCCCTTAAGTTTGGACGGGCATCCATACTTTTGAAAAAAAAAACACCTTCTTCGCTCCTCTTCTTCTTCTTCGCCGTCTTCTTCTTCTTCCCAAGCCAAAACCACCGCAACATCTCTCACAACATAGCTCATTGATCTCCATTGATTCCAGTTGATCCTTACGCTAGAATCTGGGAAGCAGCAACAAGAGAATTTGGATTAAACACAGTCTCAAATGAAGCATCCTCCATTAAAGTAACTACTCCACATGACAATCCTCCACCATTGGTGCTACAAAATCCTGTAACTTCTTCAAGCACTTTGATAGGGATAAATATAATCACAAAACTTCCTGAAAAGCAGAGTCCCTTCTTCTGGCGACCTACTTCTCTGAAGTAACTCAGCTCGGCACAGTAACACCTCAAATCCATTTGGCAGCAATCCTAATCCTCCCACTGAATTACAGCATAAACAAAACAAATAACCTTTAGATCAAATCACCTAGTTTGAAGGCTTCTAACACTTGAAAGGAGATGGCAATGGCGTAGGAGTGGTATCAGCTAGGAATGTGGCACAGGCTAGCACAAGTGCTTCTCAAGAAAATGCCCCATAATGGGTTAAGAAAGACAAAAGGAGATTGCTCCATGTTGTTTATCGTGTTGGAGATTTGGATAAGACGATAAAGTATTCAGTTTTTATTTAACTTCAACGGCAATGTTAATGTTATAAATAAGTTTCTCTTTGAAACAATATTATTGTAATAATCTTGGAAGGATATTAATGTATTTGGTGGCTTTAGATTCTATATCGAGTGCTTGGGGATGAAGTTGCTGCGGAAACGGGACATACCAGAGAAGAGATATACAAATGCCTTTCTTGGTTATGGACCAGAAGATTCTCACTTGTTATTGAACTCACTTACAGTAAGCTCTTTGCCTGCTCCTTTGTTTTGTTAAGCTTTGCTAATCTCTGAAACAGCTGAACTTCCGGTGAACCTTTTGCAGAATACTGAGATGTTAAATAATTTATGTACATGACTTTAATGGAGGATGCTTCATTTAAGACTGTTGTTAATCCAAATTCTCCTGTTGCTGTGGTTTTTGGCTTGGCGAAGAAGAAGGAGAAGAGCGAAGAAGGTGTTTTTTTTTTTTTTTTTTTAAAGTATGGACAAGCATCCCTTCCTTATGGACGTCCGTCCAAACTTAAGGATTAGACGCCTGTCCAAACATAAGGGACGCCTGTCCAAAATTTATGGACGGCCGTCCCCAAATTTTTTGTTTTTATATTTTGGTTAAGGACGGCCGTCCCTTATTTGCGGACGCCCGTCCAAAATGAAGGGATAGCCGTCCATAACGGATGAACAACCGTCCCTAATTTTTATAAAAAAAAAATTATTCCATTTTACTTATGGACAAGCGTCTATTAAATCAGGACGCCTGTCCCTAGTATATGGACCCCAGTCTATATAATATGGACGAGCGTTCATGTGAGTGAACGGCCGTCCAAATTTGATGGACAGCCGTTCACTAGAAAAAAATTGTTAAAGAAATCAGAGGCGTGTTACACGTAGGCCGGTACAATATTTCGGTACAAAAATCCCGGTGTCTGTAGCATTATTGTTAGATGAGTGAATTGGTAAAAAATAACAAAACTATGTCGCCAAAAGAAGGCAGTTGTTGTCGACGATTGGGGAGCTTTGTTTTAAAAACCAGACTGAACCGATTGGTCGGACCGGGACCCAGCAACTTCTCCGGTCCGGTTAAGGTTTTAGGAGGGTTTTTGTAATATTTCAAAATTATAAGGGTTAATTTGCATTTTATAGAGGTATGTTGGAGATATTTTAAAAGTTTAGGGATTAATTGGTAATTTTTTTGGGGGCATTTTTTAAATAAATAAAAATTTTAGGGACTAATTAAATTTTTTTAGGGGAATTTTTGTAATATATTAAAATTTGAGAGATTAATATGTAATTTTTAAAAAATAAAATTTTCGCTGACGTCATCAGTCCAATCGGTTGGACCGGTTGACCCATGACCCGGGCAACAAAACAGGTTGACCTCCGATCCGGGTTTTAAAATAATGTTGGGGAGATGAATAGGGGAAGGGTGAGATGAGTTTTGGTAAGGAGACTAAGGAAAGTGTTTTTGTAGTGATAGGAAGTGTTGTTGTCACAAAAAACAAGCCCTATTTGCCAATACCGACGGTAGTGTTTGGAGTATTTTTGCAAGATTTCAAACCTATAAAGACTTATAGTAATTTTCAGAGGTATTTTTGTTAGATTTCAAACATTTGGACACCGGTTTGATCTGCTGGTCAAACCGGTCAATCTGGGACCCAACCACTTTGCCAGGTTTCACCCCGGGTTGGTTTTTAAAACACTGGATTAGAGTTTAGACCTGCATGGGCCAAATTTGACTTTTTATTCAATTTTCTATGAAAATGTAAATTCATTAACAATTTAATAAAGCAGTTTATTAAAAACGTAAACTTGAATAAAGCAGTTCATATTTACACAACAGCAAAAGGGCATAGGATTTGCGGGGAGGGAAGCAGATATCTACAAGTAAAAGGAAAGAGTGAAATGTGAAAAAAGCTCTGATGAGGAGTGGGAGGAGGGTCATAAGTAATCCATTGGAAGCTCCCAATCATCCTCTGCTTCTTCTCTCATCTTTGGATGGGATTTCTTCCTGCTGAAACCTCTCGGCGTGCGACGATCATCATCAAATTTACCAGGCCTTTCAAAGTCTGCATATTCTCCAAGTTCATCTGTCAAAGTTCCCGGATTCTGGCTGTCCCAAATACCCTGGTACAACCATTTAAAGTTTTGATTATCTATCAGCTAAAATATAAATTTAATGCAATGACTTCAAATTTTTACAAGAAAATAAGGAGGTTTTTGCATATGCTGCAACTATACGTTTCTCTAAAACATAAGCTGTTTAGGAAACCTTGAATACCAAATGGTTGAGAATGTGCAACCAGGTTTGAATTACGAAATATGCAATTTTCTTTTCGGATAAGAACATGGAGAAGACAATTATCAAACCAGAAACTAGTAATTGGTAAAACATCAATCTGATTACATCTCTTTTCACCGAGGGTGTGGTATCGTGTCATATTGTATGCTTACATACACGCATCAACAAATGACTGTCTAAATGCTTAACTAGTACGTACCACTTGAAGCAGGGAAAAGCATTAGTCTACAGTGTTCAGTGTGAGTGATAGAATCATCTTCATGGGCAAAACTTACTGGAAATTAAGATATTTTTAGCATCACAAAGAACCCTATTACAAATAAAGTCAAGACAAAGCATGACTAACAGCTTCATCATAAACTGAAGGTGAAGTTACCTTTGTTAGCCTTTGTATATGCGAGGCTGCAGCTTCGTGAACAACAATCGTGTCAGCTATAACTTGGAGCACATCTTCTACGTGCAAAGCATAAGTACTAACCTGGAAAAATGACAAGCAGATTGCATTTGAGTTTCCTATAGGAACTCATTTGAACAAGAAGATAATATCAATATATCCAATACATTGAAGTGAGGATTGTGTCTGATCATGCAGCATAGTATATGGAGGTATTTTTTTCTCTATTAAATAAAGTAAGAACCAGCAACCCACCAAACTTGATGGAATAATCGATATCCCAAATGAATCGAGCTCCAGTGATTCAACAGACCCTGAATTAATGTTGAAAGTGTATCCTCGCACCTAGATTGCACAATCCATATGATAAGAAAAATTTGACCCAAACATGATATATGCAGGATTTGGTGCTGAAATTTGGTTTTACCTTCCCAATGTTCCGCTTACCTGGAGTTACAACTCTGTATCCTACCTAACAAAAATCAGAGATTAAAAGCCTTAAAATTAAATAACGAATAAAAGGGCAGAGTGACAACTACTGCAATATGGGGTGGCCTGGCAAACCACATACATACCAATGTATCAAGTCCAACCATTTTGAAATCTTTTTCTGTTACTGTCTCATCCTCGACAAGCACAACATCACCAACCTGTAAAAAATAAGACATTGAATACTCTGTTCAAGACCCAAATGAGGTGCATAAACTACAAACTAGACAAATAACCAAAAGAAATGGCTTGTATCTTCTGTATACAGCGCAATCCTCCGCATAAATATCAGCAGTATGAAAATATATGGTCAAGGGCAACTAACACCGCAACAGTATATATACTCATATGAGAGATCCTTAGACCCTAAACCATGAATTTAACTAACCAAGCAGTATATATACCACCATCCACAAGAGTGACTGTTCTTATCATCCATAAAACTAATAAAACATAAACCAAAACAACTCTCAAACTAAACCATAAGTTTATGTCAAAGGTGTATAAAGCTTCAAAATTTGCTAGCCATATATGCACAAGTATAAAAAATACCTGGCTAACATCTTCAAGAAGAAACCTTTCTGATTCACCAGAAAGCAAGTTTGGCCTCACTTCAACTACCAATACAACCCACTAAAGAGAAACAAAACAAAGCACAAAATGAGCATCTGGGTTTTATAGATAACAAAAAATTACATAATTTTGTACCAACAAATGATGAATTAATTAACTTACAGAAGTTGTGTCCACCCAAAGTTGAGAGACATAACCTAAAGAAACGGCAGATTGAATACTGATGACTTGCTTTGCTAACATATTGGATCTCCTCATCAATTGTTTTCCTCTCCTCAACCTTGGTCTTTCTAAACCAACACTATTCTCATCTTCACTCTTTTGGCCCTTCTTCTCTTCCCTCAATTCAACAATTTCTCTTCCATTTTCAACAGTAGAAGAGTTCATACCAACCTTTTCCTTGAACTCCAATTCACCAAACATGTCCTGATTCTGGCTGCCATTTTTGCTTGTGTTGGGTTTAAAACTGCACATAAAAAGCTGTAACTTGCCATTTCTAATATTTGCATTGTTTGGTCTCAACTTACTAGATAAAGTTCCGAACTTTGAGCCACAAAGAGAAGAGGATAAAGGGATTGAGCTTAAGAACTCACTCATCCTAAAGAAAAACCCTAAATTTCACTCCCAATTTTACTTACAGGAGGCCCCCAAAAAATTTATCAACTGCTGGAAATTCTCCTCCTGTAATATGAAAGCTGTGACATAATTAGAAAGGAAATTTCCAAAGTGAAGAGACTTAGAGGTTTTTGTGGATAAAAGATGAGAATTTAATAGGATAATAAAAAGCAATTTCTAATTAATTATTTATAATACTTATCTTATTATTTTTCCAAATTTTATAACTTTAATATTATGATATTTTGGGTAGATTTTGTGAAACTCCTCAGAGATTTCTTAACGTAATTTTTCAATTTATCAAACATTCAAGTACATATTCAAACTTTATATCTTAATTCTTAAGAATTGATTTGTAATTCACGTATGATTATAAGGTGATGGGTCTATTGAACATCGTACAGGTTAGGTAAATCACAAATACCCTATAATCCCAATGGGTTAGGTAAGTCACAAATGCGGTAGGTATTGAATACCCTACAAGCCCAATGGGCAAGATAAGTCACAAATGGAGGGTTACCTATCTCAAGTTTGGAATAAATTAAATAGTCATGAACTTTATCATTTAAACAATTTAACACATATCGCTTAAGAGATAAGCTTATAGATAAGGCTATATTGCTTAAGCGAATGATCATTTAGCAAATAGTTTCATAGGCTATTTAATTCATTTCAAACTTAAAAACGGTATTTTAATTAATTTTCTCGTAATAAATATGATAAGTACTCACTTTGTAAAACTCAAACACAATAACTCTAAGTAACTTATCCAGATGGCTAAAGTCTTAGAGTCCGTCACAGCACAGCCTTGTGATTGCTTGCCTCCTCTTCTTGTGATAGATCTTGCTTATTTTTCCACCAACCCAAAAGTAAATGCTCAAACAAGTTTGATAAATGTTAAAGATTTCAATTCCAAATAGTTGAGATCAACTCATTCATTTGTCAGGGAGGATTTTTTATGAGTTAATTGATTGTAACCCCTATATTTCATGCAAAATTTATTTTCACTCAAAATTTTGGAAATTAACGCTTATACCTCCTAATAAAGATTTTGGAAAACTAAATATAACCACGTAAAAAAGATATTTCAAATAAATGGTCGACGTTTGACGAAAACGATGAGTCGTTTGCTCAAAGATGCTAATAGTTTATTCAAAATATCTTTTATATCCCTTGACAATTACATTTAACGGTCAGAAAGGTTATTGGAAGACCACCATTTGTTGATTTGATGGTAAAGGAACAAAGAGATCCAATATAGGTTCTTGAGTTCGAGCCCCCATGCACTAATAGAAGTGATCACTGAGAAGATTTACTGGATTATTCATTTAGTTGAGCTTAGGGGTGGGCAATATTTTAGGGCAGAACCGGAACCGACGGGTACCTAGGTGTCGGTTCTTATTCTCACCCGAAACCGGCTGTAATAGAATGGGTTCCGATTCTAAAAAATTGAAACCGATACTGTGCAGTTCCGGTTCCAAATCAAAGAAACCGAAATCAGGACTAAATTAATATAATATTAAAGAATAGGGGTTTTTTGATATTTTGCATATGAGGGTTTTTTTGATATTTTACATATCAATAAATATACATAAGAAAATTTTAGTACCAAAAGTCTTATTAATTTTCATTAAAAGATTTGTTTTAAAAAAATATTTTTATTAATATTTAAGTTTCACTTATTACTTAATGGGAGAACAACTTACACATACCCAAGGTTTATCGAAACGACAAGTTGATACCCAAAAGGTTTTGAAACGATAAATAGGTACCTTCCGTCATGTTCTATTAGTGATTTTCATTTGATAATAGTGAAAAGACTAAAATACCCTTGAAAGTTTAATATTTTAGTTTTTTATAAATTTAAAAATTTCTAAAAAACCCCCTAGGTTTGCTAATTTGACTAAATACCTAATATATAAAAAATTTATAAAATAACAAAAACACCCCTACCACCCGCAGTGCCAGATTCCAGCCACCATCATCGGAATCTGGTCGAAAAATTGCGTTACAACACAGACCCATCGGATCTGTGTCGTAACGCATCGATTTGGCTTTTTTCGGCCTCGACGGCCAGATCCTCCACAGATCTGGGCGAAAAATGCCAGATCAACATGTTACGACACAGATCCGAAGGGTCTGTGTCGTAACACAATTTTTCGGCAAGATTCCGGCCTCGACGGCCAGATCAGCCACGGATCTTGCCGGAAAATGCCAGATCTACGCGTTACGACACAAATCCGATGGGTCTGTGTCGTAACGCAATTTTTCAGCCAGATTCCGATGGTGGTGGCCGGAATCTGGCACTACGGGTGGCGGGGGTGTTTTTGTTATTTTATAAAATTTTTATATATTGAGGTATTTAGTCAAATTAGCAAACCTAGGGGGTTTTTTAGAAATTTTAAAATTTATAAAAAACTAAAATATTAAACTTTCAAGGGCATTTTAGTTTTTTCACTATTATCAAACGAAAATCACTAACAGAATATGACAGAAGGTACCTATTTGTCGTTTAAAAACCTTTTGGGTACCAACTTGCCGTTTCAACAAACCTTGGGTATGCGTAAGTCGTTTGGCCTTACTGAATTAAGAAATTAATATACATTAAGATATTTATGTTAAATAATAGCTTCTAAATATTTATTATCGATATATTATTTAATGTTTTGCACTTAATTGTTAGGGGTGTAATTATAATTTTATAAAGATTTATCTGTCATTTAAAAAAAAGGTGGGTAATTGATATTTTTCAAGGTACCCGGAACGGGAACTGAAACCTGTAACACAGGTTTCGGTTCCGGTTCCAAATCAAAGGAACCTTTCAATTTTGGTTTCGGTTCCTTTGATTTTGGGTGGGTACCCAGAGTCGCATACCCCTAGTTGAGGTGTATGCAAGCTGGCCCAAAAAAGGAAAAAATGCCATTGGGAGGTAGGGAAATTTACGTGTCAAACCTCAACGGTGGCATGGTAATAAAACCTTACAAAATACCAAAAGGAAGAAAGTCCCGTCTTTGAAAAAATTGAAAAGGTGAGGGGCGAAATGAAATTTGCGATGGTCAAAAGGGTATTTGTATTTGATTAAGGTTGAAGCATTAGCTTAGCGTACAAGCTGTAATCCGGTCAGCATTGTCAAGCAGCCACCCAATCCAAATCGCATATTCTAACTTGCTCCTCCAAGTCCTCCAGCTCCTTATTCCATACAGCCCATCCAATCAACCACTCCCCCCACGCCACGTGTTTCTTCTCCAAAACCAAGCATTGCTTTGAAAGAACTATTCACGTTCCTTATATAACTGCAGCTCGTTCGAAGAATCCATTATTTATTTCTTCATAAAGTTTCAATCTTTGGTGCTGTTGTTACTCCTCCGCGTCCTCTCCAGGTGCCCGCATTCTCTCTCTTTTCTTTTTTCTTTGCATGTTTGGTTGTTAAGAGACGTTTGGAATACGTAAGCATGTAGATTTCTTGTTTTTATGTTCAGAATTCAACACGTTTTTTTTCTTAAAGATTTGGTTTGAAAGATGATGTTTTTGTCTTTCATCTATCATGTTATAAAAGGGTTTCTTAGGATTTGGGTTAGTTTTTCTGTTTGTAAAAATTATATCTCTGTTGGGTTTGCGTTCCATGGTATGTGTCGTTTGGTTTCTGTATGAAGCTTACGTGTATGTATTTGCCTCTTCAAGTTCTGTTTTTTTTTTTTTTTTTCTCTTTTTAATACTCTGGCTAGGATTGATCAGAGTTATGTTTTTTATAGAGATGAATACTGATGCCACTGTGTGTGTGTGTGTGTGTGTTTTTTTTTTTTTTTTTCATTTTCAAGAAGCTGATTTTGTGCTTTTGTTTTTGCATTTAATTTCAGACTTGACAACTTGATCTTCATGAATTTGAGAACTACTGAAGCATCATCTGTTGTTTCCTGCAAATTGGGAAACAAGAGCTACTTCTTCTCGTGGATTCTCTTTTGCTTACTGCCAAAGTTTCTAGGGACTCCAGTTGCATACGTGCCCTTCTTGTTAATTAAGGCCATTTATTTGAGTCCTTCAACTGCATTGGTTTTGGAGAATTTTGGGGGAATTTAGCCATTTTGGTGATTGCTTTCACCATCTTCATTTGGTGTCCTTAGATAAAACTTGGTAACATGGTTTCCTCTCAGACTCAGTTGCCTGGTTTGACTAAATCCCGCATGTGCAAACCACTCCAGACGCAGCTATTTTTTCCTGTGAACACTGCAGATGATGTTGTATCTGATACAGTTGAGCTGGATTTCTCTGATGTATTTGGTTCTGTTCCAGTTCAGACCTCATTAATTTGTGGTGATTTGGAAAATTCTGTATTGGATATAGCTGAAGTGAGTGAGATAATTTATGAAGATCCAGTTGTCATTTACAACCGATCACATTCTCTGGTTGGCCCTTCTTCTTGTGTTAGTGAATCATTGAAATTGAACAAGCTCACTCTACATGAGACAGAGGATTCAGAGGAACTACTGGACTGTGTCAAGGGAGAGTCCATCAAAGAATTTGGGGAATCCTTCGTTGAGGAGGTTGTTTCCAGTGATGGGCTTCTTGAAAATTTCGATGGATGTTCTAATAAGGTCCTTAGTGTAGGCATTGAGGATTTTGAAGTTTTGAAGGTTGTTGGGCAGGGTGCATTTGGAAGGGTGTATCAGGTGAGGAAGAAGCATACCTCAGAAATATATGCGATGAAGGTTATGCGAAAGGACAAGATTATGGAGAAGAATCATGCTGAATACATGAAAGCTGAGAGGGATATTTTGACGAAAATAGATCACCCCTTTATTGTCCAGCTCAAATATTCATTCCAAGTAATCTTCATAGTGATTATGAAATGCTCTAAGCTGTTTCTTTGAAGTATTACAACCATCACCATGATTGAATAGGAGAATAGATTGCAACTTTAATATCTCAATTTTTGCCATATATAGATTTTTTTTTTTTTTAACTTTAGAAGATTAAATTTAAGTTTTTCTTGACACGCAGACCAAATATAGATTATACCTTGTGCTGGATTTCATAAATGGGGGACACCTTTTTTTCCAGCTCTACCGCCACGGCCTTTTCAGGTTTGTTTGTTCTTTCTTATTTGGATGGTTTCTGGAACCCGCATGGCATTAGGCTGATTAACACCTGCGATTTTGTTTTAGAGAGGAGCTGGCACGTATATACGCTGCTGAGATTGTTTCTGCCGTTTCCCACCTTCATACAAAGGGCATAATGCATAGGGATCTTAAACCTGAAAATATTCTTTTGGATGCAGATGGCCATGTACTCTCTTTTCTTCTCTCTCTATTTATTTGTCTTATTGATACAGTGACTTGGGGAGGCTAAGGGCATTAATTGTCTTAAACTCGCTCTTATTCCACAATATGCACAAAATAGAAGTGGAAAATAATAGTTCTGACATTTAACTCAATTTTAAATACAGGTAATGCTTACTGATTTTGGCTTAGCAAAGCAATTTGATGAAAATACAAGATCAAACTCTATGTGCGGTACAATTGAATATATGCCACCTGAAATTATTCTTGGAAAGGGCCATGATAAGGCTGCAGACTGGTGGAGTGTGGGAATTCTTTTGTATGAGATGCTCACTGGGAAGGTTGGCATTCTTCAATGACTATTCTTTTGTGATCTGTACCGTATTTCTTTTGGAATTTATACTCATTGTTAGCTTTTGTTTTCAATTTGTGCAGCCTCCTTTTATTGGTGGGAACAGGCAAAAAGTTCAGCAAAAGATAGTTAAGGATAAGATCAAGCTGCCGGCATTTTTGTCCAGTGAAGCACATGCTCTATTGAAAGGGGTAGAAACTTAATGCCTCAGAAAAGTGTTTCTTTTATTCTATTCCTAACACAACATTGAACATTGTATCTTTCTTGTTGAGATACTGATGTGGTATGATGGCATATTGTGGACTTATTCCACACCCAACTGTGTCATGTAAAGATTTTTTCATGTGTAAACATTCAATTCTGTATTTGAGGATCCATATGGGATACTTATGGTTTTGAAGTGACAGTTTATTGGTGACTCTAACAGAAGTTTGGGTTCTTTAATTCCTTCTTCTTTATTTGAAGGGGTTTGTGGCCTGGACTCTTGCATGTGCTAATCGATATTGTTATTTATCATTAATGAATGAAAAGCTGAGAAAATTTGTTTGTTGTTTCAGCTACTACAAAAGGAACCCGGCAAGCGCCTTGGTACTGGACCTAGAGGAAGTGAGGAAATTAAGCAACACAAGTGGTTCAAATCAGTCAACTGGAAGAAATTGGAGGCAAGAGAAATCCAACCCAGTTTTCGTCCAGATGTTGCAGGGAAGCACTGCATTGCTAACTTTGACAAGCGATGGACTGAGATGCCACTTTCGGATTCTCCAGCTGCATCTCCAAAGAACAATATAAACCCATTTGTCGACTTTACTTATGTGAGGCCTACGGATCCATTCCTTCAGAGTAGTAGCCCCTATTCTAGCTTTGTATCATCCTCGGGTTGAGGTTTTCAAGGGATTACTAAGAGGCCAATCGATAGTGGATCTACTATGGTGGCATAATTTGAAGTATCTTACTCAGTAGACAAACTACTCTATGTTGTATTACATTCTGTGCTATAAACATATGAAACTACTCTATGTTGTATTACATTCTGTGCTATAAACATATGTTCTGCAGACTCTTAGATCCTTGTTTCCCATTATGATGTCTCCAAGTACTTTATCCTCCTCAGATGAAGTGGTATTATGCTTTAGCAATCAGCATGTTATCTTTATTTCTACATCCCTCCTAGAATATGTTGGCTTTTCTTTTTTTGGGTATTAGCAATCAACAGGTTACTTTTTGTCGGATGGACTGAGGAATGCTATTTTCTGGAATTCGCCACATAAAATTTGTAGATATTTTATAGTAATAAGGAAGACATGATCAATTCCTTAATGAAATAGTCCATCACTGTCTTTTCAAAAGGAAAGAAGGCAACTTATCAGGTTGCTGGAGACTTGAGAACGAAATAAGCTGTTCTTGGACCACATATTTCTTGCTAAATGGATAGATCTAAGCATGGCACGTGGCACAAGACCAACCTCTTCAGACTCTTGAACAAAAACAAAACTAACTCAAAACATTAGCTCTTCTTTGTAGTGCCAGACTACCAGTATAGTATGGCTTCACTCTGGTCTCCAACAACAATTACTCTTCAACAGAACCCCAAGATTATTTGCTTCTCTCCTTTAAAACCCACTTCCCAAACTAATCTCTCTTCTTTGACAAATCGTTTCAGAAGTAATCCTGGAAGATGCCATGCATTTTTTGGCAACATCCCAGATGATCTTTTGGACCAGTCATTTTCTCAAGTTCCAATTTTTCAATCTGGTTTGGTGGAATTTCATCGAGCTACCGAAGAACTATCAGATGTTCAGAGATGGGGGTTTCTTGCTTTTGCTGGGTTGACATGGATATATTTGACTGCAAGGCCTGGTGTTCTTGTAGGTGCCATTGATGCATACGTTCTAGCTCCTCTGCAATTGGTTTTTGACAGCTTGATTGGAAGGAGGAACTTGAAAAGGACTGATTTTGTGATAGGGGATAAACTAGGAGAAGGGTCTTTTGGTATTGTGTATTCTGGAGTGATTGTTCCAAAGAATGTGACTGTTGAAGAGAGTGGACAGAGAAAGGGAAGAGGCAGATCACTAGAGTTAGATAGCAGGTTCAAGGAAAAAGTCATTCTTAAGAAGGTAGTTCATTCTACCATTGCTTTTATATAATAACGTTTTGTTACTTTTTGATTATTTTTTCTCTTCTGATGATTTAATGTATAAAGTATTATCATCTTTTTTCTGAATTATTGATTTTCATCGATTGGAACATGCAGGTGAAAGTTGGAGTTCAGGGGGCTGAAGAATGTGGTGATTATGAAGAATGGTTTAATTATAGATTATCAAGAGCTGCTCCGGAAACATGTGCGGAGTTCCTCGGAAGTTTTGTTGCAGACAAAACAAACTCTCAGTTTACGAAAGGTGGCAAGTGGCTTGTTTGGAAATTTGAGGTACTCCACTCAATTCAAATTATAATAAGCACTTCAAATACTAATTTGAAAGTCTTTTCCATATTCAACTTCCTTTGATTAGAAAAGTGTATTGCATGGTCACGAGGACTCTTTGAGATGCAGAGCTATGGATGATAAACTTACTATTGAATTTATGGGCTTCGCATTAATGTTAGTGTATTTATCCTGAACGAATGATATGCCGTTTTATCATCTACTTAAAACGCAATACTAAATTTATGTTTTGTCTACCGTTAGTTGATGTACAGAGTTTCTAAATTCATGTTTGCTGCACTAATTGTAGGGATGTCCATGTGACAGGGAAATCGAAGTCTTGCTGATTACATGAAAGACCGCAACTTCCCTTTTAACTTGGAGTCTTATATGTTCGGACGTGTGTTGGAAGGTGCAGATTCAACGAAAAGGAGTGCATTAATTATCAAGCAAATAATGCGCCAAATTATTTCTTCCCTCAAAAAAATCCATGACACAGGCATTGTTCACCGGGATGTAAAGCCAGCCAATTTAGTAGTGACAAAGAAGGGACAGATCAAGCTTATAGACTTTGGAGCAGCTACTGATCTTCGGATTGGCAAAAATTATGTACCCAACCGTACTCTGCTTGATCCTGATTATTGTCCTCCTGAACTATATGTACTACCTGAGAAAACACCTAGTCCTCCTCCTGAGCCTGTTGCTGCTTTTTTTTCTCCTATTCTCTGGCAGGTATTATAGCTTCCACCTTAATATATGCATGAATATAAGATAGCGAAAATTGTATCCTTGCGGATACATGGATTTCCTTTTGGAAGCTATAGTAGAAACTGAATGTTGTCCAAAACATTACTAAAGTTGAGTTTGAAATTATTGTTGCAGCTGAATAGTCCTGATCTGTTTGATATGTACTCGGCTGGGATTGTACTCTTGCAAATGGCAATACCAACCTTGAGGTCTACTGCAGGCTTAAAGAATTTCAAGTCAGAAATAAAGACAGATGAATATGACTTGAATAAATGGAGAGAGTACACTCGGTTGAGGCCTGACTTCACTATTCTTGATCTTGACTCGGGTAGGGGTTGGGATCTAGCCACAAAGCTTATTTCAGAGAGAGGTTTCCTCGGAAGAGGACGTCTATCAGCTGCTGCTGCTTTGAGGCATCCTTATTTCTTGTTGGGTGGTGACCAGGCTGCTGCCATTCTTTCAAAATTTAGCTTATCCAAGTAGTTAACTACTTGCTGATGTGAGTACATTCCTGATGAGGTTTCATTTTGCACATCCTGATTTCTTTTTCTGTATATTTTTAGCTTTTCTGGTAGGTTCAGAAGACATATATATCAAACTAAGTTTATCATATTTGGAATGAGGCACTATTTATTTTATAATACTTAGGTGGACGATGGATAAAGAAAGTTTTGAATAGTCATAAAAGTTTAATGGTACTTTTATGCATTCTACAGCTTGTTATGCTGATTTGAGAGATTATTCTGCTTAACTACTTATTTCGAGATAAAACATTTTTTTTTTTTTCAGAGATGGAAGGATGAAAAAGAGTCGCCGAAGTGAGTGGCACTATGACGTGTTTGCCAGTTGATCAAAGTATTTTTTTTTTCACAACAGATGATTAATTAAGGTATGTGTTAACATATCTCTGTTTTAGAAACTGTTGCTCACATACTCCTTGGCCTCTTTCTGCCAATACAAGAGGTCACAATGTTACTTTACATCATTTTTGGGAAATTGAACATATCAAAGTTCACTCTTTTCCCCCCTTAAGAGTCTTTCTTGCAGTTTCAGTTAATCTTCTTCTCTAAACCTTGTTAGCTTCCAATATTTGTTTCCTTAAAAGCATCATGCCAGTTGCCAAAGACTCTTCTGCAGCAGCTATGGTAAAATTAAAGTTGTATACACGGGATGATCAAGTGAATCAACCATTAGAATGTTGATCATACATAACACTGTTTTTGTGATTTTGTAATGAGCATCAGGCCTCTAATGTATTGAAATTCTAGTTCGACATTATATCCTTTCCTCTTTTGTCCATTTTTTATCGTACAAGCACCATGGTTCTGATTCTTAAATTTATTATCGAGGTTTTGTACAAGTTCTTCAAGTTATGTCAACAAACTTCCATATTATGTATCGTTGATTTTGGCTAGCCAAAGAAGGTAGCTGGATCCATATTATGGGGTCATCGCCCAATTAGTTTTTTGCCCCTATCCTACCGCCTGGTGGATCGAACTCGGGTGGCTAGCCAAAGAAGGTAGCTGGATCCATATTATGTATCATTTACTTGGTAAAAGTATTGAATTTCCTTGCATGCAACACTCAGTGATGCAAATATGTTTCCCTATCGTTGCTCTTTTCCCTATCGTTGCTCTTGCATTTGTGGAAACTGGCAAATGCTATACCATAAATTTGAAGTTTGAGAAAGTGAGAAGTAGTTTGTTATATTTTTCATGTCATCAGGCAACTATTGCTGCCTAAAGCTTTGCTATGAGGGTCTAAAATGACCCCTTTAACAACATCTAGCCTACTATGGAGGCTGTATTCTATACACTTTGATGAACATATTAGAAATAACCATAATTGCAACAACTAGAAACAAGCTGGAAATTGTTTCCCCTGCAAGTGCGCAGCTGAGGGGGTAAAAGCTGCACATCCCTTGTGGCTTTGGTCTCGATATTGTTATAGAAAAGAATGCATACTCTCTTCCAGTCATTTATTCAAAACAAAATCTGAAGAACATGAACCATACTGTCACACAGTTCCATACGTACCTGTAAAATAAGTATGCTGCAATTACACACCAGCTGAAAAGAGTGATCCTGTAAAGCTTCCTTTTGCCATACTTTTCTGTGAGCCGCTCAAGTAAGGCCTTCATCTTTAGGACCTTCACAAAGCCGAAATGAACTTAACCATTCAATTACTGGTAAAATGACAGAAATGTTTCTAAACTTGAACTTGGAAGAGTTAAGTTTGACAGCAAAGGTGTATTGTTATTAGTGATGGAATTTGCACAAAGTTTGAATTTCAAATAATACTGACAAACAAAGAACTGTGTAAGTTGAAACTGTCAGGTTATTGGAAAAACCAAAGAGAAGCAACTGAACTCTCAAATGACAATGAAGAGAAACCACAGACGGCAGATGGCTATAAATTTTAATGCCAGTGAATTTACAGCCATATCAAATACAGATAGATAGTTTGTTAATAACTTAAACATGAGCAATTCCACTGTTTTCAAACATTAAGACTGTGTGTGTCTCTTAAGAAGGCATCCTATTTACATTAACAAAAATCATAGTCTAAATCACAACAGCAGCAACCGAAAACAAAATGGTAATCACTGAGAATGCGAGTCTGCAGCTGCTAGGGAACAAGTTGCACAGGACTTGTGGTGGTACTCTTTTGAAGATAACAGCAAATATTGGGAACCCGCCCTCATACTCCTTCCAACTCCAGAGCCTGAGGTAAAGCAAAAATATACTATCACAGATTTAATCATGTGATAAGTACATTGCTATTGCACACCCAGTGACAAGAGTGATCCCATAAACAACTTTCTTTTTCCTAATTCTAACCCTTCCTGTAAGCCAGCCATGGAAGAACAGTAACTTTGTGATGGCAGCATTGGTCATGGTTGGTGACTGGTAAAACAAAGGGAATTAGCGATTTCGTATAATATATATCTTGTATATTATTGGAACCGGTCAACTAGGACTCTTATGTGTATCACTCAAGAGATCTTGAGTTCGATTCATTTGGGTTGCTAATAGGGTTAGCCACTGAGAGGATTTATCCGACTGTCAACTTCAGACCCCGGAGGATTAGTTGAGGTGCGCATAAACTGGTTTGAACACCCCCCGTCACCAAAATATATATCTTGTAACTATGATTGAATTTGACAAACGCCAAGAAGATTGTCCAAAAAGGAACGTTGTAATCGTCAAGTTAATTGGAAAAACCAAAGAGAGCCATCTCAAGTGGGTAAATGGTAACGAAGAGATATTATAGAAAGCGGATGAGAAAAACATGGACAAGAACTTCACACAATTCCAAGTTTCCCCTTAAGAACGGTGCGGCCTGAAGCGGTAATATTAGTTCGAAGTCAGCTTTAACCCTCCAAACCAAAAAGTTGGAACTGCGAGAACAAGGAATTGTAATGAAGAGAATTTTTTATTGATAAACAAGTTCATAATTTGTGGCACAATGCACACCTAATGACAAAAGAGAGGCCATGAAGCTTCCTTCTTTCTGCCCTATTATAAGCCACCGAAGATTGTTAAACCAAAAACCAAAGTGGGTAAGATGCCCATTTCTACAGTCTACATAATATCAAAACAAAAAAACTCATGAAGTCTCTATGGAGGCATCCTATAAACAGTAAGGAACATCTTAGTCACAATTACGATAGTAGCGATTGAAGTCAGGATTGTAATGACTGCAAATGCAAGTCCACAGAAGCCAGGGAATAAGTTGCATAGCTCTTCTGGTGGTCGTCTTCTGATGACTACTGCAAATGCTGGGAAACCGCCCTCATACTCCTTCCAACTCCAGAGCTTGCGGTACAGCAAAAATGTCATCACGCTATCATGGATACTATCACAGATTAAATCATGTGATAAGTACATTGCTATTGCACAGCCAGTGACAAGAGTGATCCCATAAACAACTTTCTTTTTCCTGGTTCTAACCCTTCCCGTAAGCCAGCCATGGAAGAACAGTAACTTTGTAATGGCAGCATTGGCCATGGTTGGTGACTAGTAACATAAAGGGAATTAGTGATCTGGTATATTATATATCTTGTAACTAGTGACTGAATTTGACAAACGCCAAGGAAGATTGTCCAAAAAGGAACGTTGTAATTGTCAAGTTAATTGGAAAAACCAAAGAGAGCCACCTCAAGTGGGTAACTGGCAACGAAGAGATATTATAGAAAGTAGGGGTGTTCAAAAGCGGTTAACCGAACCGGTTAACCGCTTTTTTGAACCGAACCGATTTTTCGGTTCGGAAAAATTCCTGAACCAAAACCGAACCGGTTTAGAGGGAAATTCGGTTTTTTGAATTTTTCGAACCGTAACCGAACCGTTTTTTCGGTTAACCGGTTTTCCGGTTCGGTTATCGGTTCGGTTCGGTTTTTGCATTTTTTTGAACACCTCTAATAGAAAGCAGATGAGAAAAACGTGTATTAGAATTGTGGGAGGAGCTTTTATACTATGCCAGAATTTGAAAAACAATTGAAAAGATTCTGAGTATGTCCTAAAGATATTTTTGAGAGAGCAAGAGACAATTGAAATGATCGGAGTATATCCGAGAGATATATGAGAGAAATTCAATTTAATTATAATTAATTGTATTGAGTTAGAAATGAGAATGATCCATGTCCAAATGATATGTGAATTAATGTCATATATTTTCTCAGTGATTAGGAACCTAACCTAGCCCAACCAGTTTAATCATGACCCGCCGCCTTTACCAGGTAGGGTTACATAATTTTCAGTTCATTCAAAAGCCTAGACATTAAGACATCAATCTGTGAATAATTGAAGGCTAGAAGTTAGGGCTTTTGAAGAGGAATGACCGGTGTAAAGGTGGAAAAGTAACCCGCCCGGCCCGGCCCGCGGCGGGTTACATGTTTTGGCGGGCTGGGCTCAACCCGCCCGCCAACAAAGGCGGGCCGGGTTAGGCCCGCCAATTAAGGGAAAGTACCGGTTGGACCGGTTGACCCAGACCCAGACAACAAAACGGGTTAACCTCCGGTCTGGGTTTTAAAACAATGTTGGGAAGGCAATGAGGGAAGGGTGAGATAAGTTTGGTAAGGAGACTAAGGGAAATGTTTTTGTCGTGGAGGAGTGTTGTTGTCACAAAAACAAGCCCTATTGCCAATACCGACGGTAGTGTTGGAGTATTTTTGCAAGATTTCAAACCTATAGAGACTTATAGTAATTTTCAGAGGCATTTTTGTTAGATTTCAAACATTTGGACTCGGTTTGATCCGCGGTCAAACCGGTCAATCTGGGACCCAATCACTTTGCCGCTTTCACCCGGGTTGGTTTTTAAAACACGTTTTAGAGTTTAGACCTGCATGGGCCAAATTTGATTTTTTATTCAATTTCTGTGAAAATGTAAATTCATTAACAATTTAATAAAGCAGTTTATTAAAAATGTAAACTGTATAAAGCAGTTCATATTTACACAACAGCAAAAGGGCATAAGATTTGGGGGAGGGAAGCACATATCTACAAGTTAAGGAAAAGGGTGAAATAAGAAAAAGCCCTGATGAGGGTAGGAGGAGGGTCATAAGTAATCCATTGGAAGCCAATCATCCTCTGCTTCTTCCTCATCTTTGGATGGGATTTCTTCCTGCTGAAACCTCTCCGCGTGCGGCGATCATCGTCAAATTTACCAGGCCTTTCAAAGTCTGCATATTCTCAAGTTCATCTGTCAAAGTTCCCGGATTCTGGCTGTCCCAAATACCCTGGTACAACCATTTAAAGTTTTGATTATCTATCAGCTAAAATATAAATTTAATGCAATGACTTCAACATTTTACAAGAAAATAAGGAGGTTTTTGATATGCTGCAAATATACGTTTCTCTAAACATAAGCTGTTTAGGAAACCTTGAATACCAAATGGTTGAGAATGTGCAACCAGGTTTGAATTACGAAATATGCAATTTTCTTTTCGGATAAGAACAGGAGAAGACAATTATCAAACCAGAAACTAGTAATTGGTAAAACATCAATCTGATTACATCTCTTTTCACCGAGGGTGTGGTAAGTGTCATATGTATGCTTACATACACGCATCAACAAATGACTGTCTAAATGCTTAACTAGTACGTACCACTTGAAGCAGGGAAAAGCATTAGTCTACAGTGTTCAGTGTGAGTGATAGAATCATTTCAGGGCAAAACTACTGGAAATTAGATATTTTTAGCATCACAAAGAACCTATACAAATAAAGTCAAGACAAAGCATGACTAACAGCTTCATCAAAACTGAAGGTGAAGTTACCTTGTTAGCCTTTGTATATGCGAGGCTGCAGCTTCGTGAAAAACAATCGTTCAGCTATAACTGGAGCACATCTTCTACGTGCAAAGCATAAGTACTAACCTGGAAAAATGGCAAGCAGATTGCATTTGAGTTTCCTATAGGAACTCATTGAACAAGAAGATAATATCAATATATCCAATACATTGAAGCGAGGATTGTTTCTGATCATGCAGCATAGTATATGGAGGTATTTTTTCTCTATTAAATAAGTAAGAACCAGCAACCCACCAAACTTGATGGAATAATCGATATCCCAAATGAATCGAGTCCAGTGATCAACAGACCCTGAATTAATGTTGAAAGTGTATCCTCGCACCTAGATTGCACATCCATAGATAAGAAAATTTGACCAAACAGATATATGCAGGATTTGGTGCTGAAATTTGGTTTACCTTCCCAATGTTCCGCTTACCTGGAGTTACAACTCTGTATCCTACCTAACAAAAATCAGAGTTAAAAGCCTAAAATTAAATAATGAATAAAAGGGCAGAGTGACAACTACTGCAATATGGGGTGGCCTGGCAAACCACATACATACCAATGTATCAAGTCCAACCATTTTGAAATCTTTTTGTTACTGTTGTCCTCGACAAGCACAACATCACCAACCTGTAAAAATAATACATTGAATACTCTGTTCAAGACCCAAAGAGGTCATAAAACTACAAACTAGACAAATAACCAAAAGAAATGTTGTATCTTCAGTATACAGCGTAATCCTCCGCAATAATATCAGCAGTATGAAAATATGGTCAAGGGTAACTAACACCGCAACAGTATATATACTCATATGATAGATCTTAGACCCTAAACCATGAATTAACTAACCAAGCAGTATATATACCACTATCCACAAAAGTGACTGTTCTTTCATCATAAAACTAATAAAACATAAACAAAACAACTCTCAAACTAAACCATAAGGTTATGTCAAAGTGTTATAAAGCTCAAACTTTGCTAGCCATATATGCACAGTATAAAAAATACCTGGCTACATCTCAAGAAGAAACCTTTCTGATTCACCAGAAAGCAAGTTTGGCCTCACTTCAACTACCAAAACAACCCACTAAGAGAAACAAAACAAAGCACAAAATGAGCATCTGGGTTTTATAGATAACAAAAAATTACATATTTTGTACCAACAAATGATGAATTAAATAACTTACAGAAGTTGTTGCCACCCAAAGTTGAGAGACATAACCTAAAGAAAACGGCAGATTGAATACTGATGACTTGCTGCTAACATATTGGATCTCCTCATCACTTGTTTTCTCTCCTCAACCTGGTCTTTCTAAACCAAAACATATTCTCATCTTCACTCTTTTGGCTCTTCTTCTCTTCCTTCAATCAACAATTTCTCTCCATTTTCAACAGTAGAGAGTTCATACCAACCTTTTCCTTGAACTCCAATTCACCAAACAGTCGATTCTGGCTGCCATTTTTGCTTGTGTTGGGTTTAAAACTGCACATAAAAAGCTGTAACTTGCCATTTCTAATATTTGCATTGTTTGGTCTCAACTTACTAGATAAAGTTCCGAACTTGAGCCACAAAGAGAAGAGGATAAAGGGATGAGCTTAAGAACTCACTCATCCTAAAGAAAAACCCTAAATTGCAATCCAATTTTACTTACAGGAGGCCCCAAAAAATTTATCAACTGCTGGAAATTCTCCTCCTGTAATATGAAAGCTGTGACATAATTAGAAAGGAAATTTCCAAAGGGAGGAGACTTAGAGGTTTTTGTGGATAAAAGATGAGAATTTAATAGGATAATAGAAAGCTAATTCTAATTAAATTTTATAAATAACTATACTTATATATTATTTTCCAAATTTTATAACTTTAAAATATTTATATTTTGGGTAGATTTTGTGAAATTCTTGAGAGATTTCTTACATAATTTTTCTATTTATCAAACATTCAAGTACATATTCAAACTTATATCTTAACGGGTAAGAATTGATTTGTAATTCACATATGATTATAAGATCATGGTCCATTGAATATGTACAAGTGTTTATATATATATATATATATATTATATAATATATATATATATATATTAATAACAGGATGTCTGGATAGTTGTACGTATCTTAATTAATCTCGAGGTATTAGATACCCTATAAACTCAATAGGTCAGGTAAGTCACAATATCCTATAACACAAATGCGGTAGGTAATGAATACTTTACAAGTTCAATGGACAGGGTAAGTCACAAATGGGGGTTCATATCTCAAGTTTAGATAAATTAAATAATCATGAACTTTATCGTTTAAGCGATTAACACATATCGCTTAAGCGATAAGCTTATAGATAAACCTATATCGCTTAAGCGATAAGTTATATTGCTAAGCGAATGATCATTTAGTAAAGCGTTTCATACTATATGACTATTTAATTCATTCCAAACTTGAAAATAATATTTTAATTAATTTTCTCGTATAAAATATGATAAGCAACCACTTTGTTAATTCAAACACAAGAACTCTAGGTAACTTATCCAGATAGCTAAAGTCTTAGAGTCCGTCATAACCGGCCTATTGGTTGCTAGTCTCTCTTCTTGTGATATATCTTGCTTATTTTTCCACCAACCCAAAAGTAAATGCTCAAACAAGTTTGATAATGTTAAGATTTCAGTTACAAATGCTTAAGATCAACTCATTTTGTTAGGGAGGATTTTTTATGAGTTAATTGATTGTCAACCCTATATTTCGTGCAAATCTTTTTCACTCAAAATTTGGGAAATTATCGCTTATACCTCCTAAGAAAGATTTTGGAAAACTAAATATAACCAAGTAAAAAAGATATTTCAATAAATGGTGAAGTTGACAAAAAACGATGAGTAGTTTGCTCAAAGATGGTAATAGTTTATTCCATATCTTTTATATCCCTTGACAATTACATTTAATGGTCAGAAAGGGCATTGGAAAAAACACAATTGGTTGATTTAATGATAAAAGAGCAAAGAGATCCAATATAGATTCATGAGTTCGAGCCCCTATGCACTAATAGAGTGGTCACTGAGAGAATTTACTGGATTGTTATTTAGTTGAGGTTAGGGGTGGGCAAATTAGGATAGAACTGGAACCGACAGGTACCTGGGTATTAGTTCGGTTCTACCCAAAACCGGCCGTAATAGAATAGGTTCTGGTTCCAAAAAATTGGAACCGATATTTGCGGTTCCGGTTCCAAATCAAAGGAACCTGGGCTAAATTGATTGATATTAAAGAATAGGGTTTTTTTGATATTTTGCATATGGGTTTTTTGATATTTTACATATCATATAAATATATAAGAAAATTTTGGTTTTTTTAATGTAAGTATCAAAAGTCTTATTAATTCATTAAAAGATAAGTTTTTAAAAATATTTTTATATATTAAGTTTCACTTATTACTTAATTAAGAAATTAATATACATAGATACTTATGTTAATAATAGCTTCTAATATTTATTATCGATGAAATAAACAATTAAATACTTATAATCAATCAAATATCAAGTAAATATAAATATATTATTTAATGTTTTGCACTTAATTGTAGGGGTATAATTATAATTATAAGGGTTTATTGTCATTTAAAAAAAAGGTGGATAACTGATATTTTTTAGGGTACCCAGAACTGAAACCGGAACGTAACGGAACCGTAATCGGAACCAACGGTTCTGGTTCCAAATCAAAGGACGACTAGTTCGGGTTTCAATTCCGATTCCTTTGATTTGGATGGGTACACGACCGCCACCCTAGTTGAGGTGTATGTAAGCGACCCAAAAAAAGAAAAAATGCTATTGGGAGGTAGGGGAAATTAACGTGTCAAACCTCAAGGGTGGCACTGTTATAAACCCTCACAAAATACCAAAAGGAAGAAAGTCCCGTCTTTGAAAAAAGTGAAAAGGTGAGGGGCAAAATGATATTTACGATGGTCAAAAGGTTTAGCGTACAAGCTGTAATCCGGTCAGCATTATCAAGCAGCCACCCAATCCAAATCGCATATTCTAACTTGCTCCTCCAAGTCTCCAGCCCTTATTCCATACAGCCCATCCAATCAACACTCCCCCCACGCCACGTGTTTCTTCTCCAAAACCAAGCATTGCCTTGAAAGAGCTATTCACGTTCCTTATATAACTGCAGCTCGTTCGAAATTCCATTATTATTTCTTCATAAAGTTTCATCTTTGGTGCTGTTGTCTCCTCCGCGTCTCTCCAGGTGCCCGCATTCTCTCTCTTTTCTTTTTCTTGCATGTTTGGTTGTTAAGAGACGTTTGGAATCAGTAAGCATGTAGATTTCTTGTTTTTATGTTCAGAATTCAAACAGTTTTTTTTTTCTAAAGATTTGGTTGAAAGATGAGTTTTTGTCTTTCTTTATCATGTTATAAAGGTTTTTAGGATTTGGGTTAGTTTTTCTGTTGTAAAATATATCTCTGTTGGGTTTGCGTTCCATGGTATGTGTCGTTGGTTTCTGTATGAAGCTTACGTGTATGTATTTGCCTTTCAAGTTCTGTTTTTTTTTTTTTTTTTTTTTTTTTTTTTTTTTTTCTCTTTTAATACTCTGGCTAGGATTGATCAGGTTATCTTTTTTTAGAGATGAATACGATGCCAATGTTTTTTTTTTTTTTTTTTTTTTTTCATTTTCAAGAAGCTGATTTTGTGCTTTGTTTTTGCATTAATAGACTTGACATTGATCTTCATGAATTTGAGAACTACTGAAGCATCACTGTGTTTCCTGCAAATTGGAAACAAGAGCTACTTCTTCTCGTGGATTCTCTTTGCTTACTGCCAAAGTTTCTAGGGACTCCAGTTGCATACGTGCCCTTCTTGTAATTAAGGCCATTTATTTGAGTCCTTCAACTGCATTGGTTTTGGAGAATTTTGGGGGAATTTAGCCATTTGGTGATGTTGTTAAACCATCTTCATTTGGTTGCCTTAGATAAAACTTGGTAACATGGTTTCCTCAGACTCAGTTGCCTGGTTTGACTAAATCCCGCATGTGCAAACCACTCCAGACGCAGCTATTTTTTTCGTGAACACTGCAGATGATGTTGTGTCTGATACAGTTGAGCTGGATTTCTCTGATGTATTTGGTTCTGTTCCAGTTCAGACCTCATTAATTTGTGGGTGATTTGGAAAATTCTGTATTGGATATAGCTGAAGTGAGTGGATAATTTATGAAGATCCAGTTGTCATTTACAAACCGATCACATTCTCTGGTTGGCCCTCTTCTTGTGTTAGGTGATCATTGAAATTGAACAAGCTCACTCTACAATGAGACGAGGATTCAGAGGAACTACTGGACTGTGTCAAGGGAGAGTCCATCAAAGAATTTGGGGAATCCTTCGTTGAGGAGGTTGTTTCCAGTGATGAGCTTATTGAGAATTTCGATGGATGTTCTAATAAGGTCCTAGTTGTAGGCATTGAGGATTTTGAAGTTTTGAAGGTTGTTGGGCAGGGTGCTTTGGAAGGGTGTATCAGGTGAGAAGAAGCATACCTCAGAAATATATGCGATGAGGTTAGCGAAAGGACAAGATTATGGAGAAGAATCATGCTGAATACATGAAAGCGAGAGGGATATTTTGA